CCTGTTTCTTCCCGACGTGTGTGTCGTGTGCCCCGAATAACGCGCGACGCTGATCAAGCCCGACATTCGGCCGATACCGCGCATGTTGCGTCCTGAAGAGCGACTATCGATGGACGTTTCGACCGCTCGCGAGAGTCGCGCACCGTCAAGGTGCGACGTTGAGACGACTCTGACGCGTTTACTGCAACGAATTTCGATTGAATTTGTACTCGATGAATTTAGCCGGTGTCTAAACGCGAATCGAAAACTGCGTTGTGTTTTCTTCGTATCGGCAGTTCGCGCGCGTGCTGCTCGAAACGTCCAAGAAGAAGACGGAGACTGCTCGAAGTGTGTGGCCAGTATTGTAAAATGCTTCCGCTAGAATCCATTATATCGTACACTGTTGATATGTTATTGAGGATCCTGCACGTTCTGGAAGAGAGGTTCCCTTCAGCCTTCGACGGCGACCTCTTCGCTCAAACCAAATTGTCATCATCATTCTTCTTCTTCTTCTTCCTTGTCCTCTTTTGCGTACGTGTGTGTGGGTGTGTGTATGTGTGTATGTGTGTGAGAGAGAAAAGAAAAGAACGTCTCGCCGCCCACGCTCGATATATCGCAGACAGCTTCGCTTTCCTTCTGCGCAGGTACTTTGTGAAGAGATTCATTCGCCCCTCCCGGATTGATAGAATTCAATGAGATGCGACCGTCGAGAGAGTCTGCTTTTCCTTAGCATAACGGTACAATAAACGTATCGAAACTGTTCGCTCGACGACTACGACGACGACGGCGACGACGACGACGACGACGACGACGACGACGACGACGACGACGACGACGACGAATCGAGACTTCGCTCCCACGCCGCTGCCTTCGGTCCAGCCGAAGAAGCGCGACGGTCATGACGTAGTTCCTTCTTCCTCTCCTGCTCTTTGCAGTCAAGCTATTAGAAGCTCCTTCCTCGTGTGCCAACAGAACGACTCTCCTCTTTTCCCTTTCTCCCCCTTTTCTCTCTCTCTCTCTCTCTCTCTCTCTCTCTCTCTCTCTCTCTCTCTCTCTCTCTCCTCCCCGTCGTCCCCGTTGGCGCGTCGCACCGACGACGAGATCTGGTCAGCAACGTCGTCGTCGGGACGCGATCTTTTCATCTTCGCCCGTCCAGACGGCTCCCACCGTGCTTCCGCCGCCTCCCGCGGTCCAGCGCGGCCTTCCTAGCCGAGGGCGATCAATAGGTCGATACAAAGAGACCGGCTAGGCGCGGCTAAGTGCGAATGTCACTGACGCACGCGCCACCAGGTCTGCTGCACCTTCTCGTGGAGCTTCCTGCAAATACCGGCGAGCCTCCGTCACATCCCAGCCTCCGCGGCGTTCTCCTCCGTCTCACCGCCCGCGTCCTCACTGGAGAACTCGCCGCCGCCACCGCCTCCGCCACCGCCACCTGGCCCGCTGTCGCTACCTTCCACAGTCTCGCCGGTCTCGTCGCCCTCCTCCAACGTCACCTGGAAGTGTATCCTGTCCGACTGCTGTTGCTGCTGATTCTCGTTCGTCGACTGCTGCTGCTGCTGCTGCTGCTGCTGCTGGTCGTCCGACGGCGGCGACGGTGGTATCATCGACTGGTACCAATCGCGGTTCTCCTCCAGCGTGTCCAGGATATCCTGCGCGTCCGGGTGCACCAGGTCCGCCCAGGTCTCCCAGAGCGGGTGAACGATGTAATCGATGAAGCCGACCTGCGACTTCTCGATGGTGGCGCTGTGCCGGTCACACATGGGGCTGATGTCCATGTTCTGCTCTCGCTCGCGGTCGCCTTGCAGGAAGAACTCCTCCATCAGCAGACCCACCCACCGTCGGTAGAGCGGCAACGGCTTGGTCGGGTTGGACAGGTCGGCGCAGTGCACCAGGTTCTCCAGCACCTGGATGCGGTCGGTGTAATTGTCGAGCAGCAGCACGCCCGACCCGGCGACCTTCTTCGTCTCCACCATGGTCTTGAGGTCAGCCAACAGCGACATGTGCTTCGACATGTCCGTCGAGAGAACCATGTCGATCACCATCTTCCGCAGAGTCTGCCGCTGCTTCTTCGTCATGTTCACGAATATGTCGCAGCCCTCGTTCTGCAGGAGCTTGAACGCGACCGCCAGGTGGTGGTTCTCCAGCACGGACTCGTCGTTGTACATCAGCGCGAGCTCGGAGCCTGGAAAAGAGACAGCGAGAGGTACATCTCTCGTTAGTCGTCTGTGCTTCGGGACGTTATCGGGGAATTGTATTGCGCGAGATAAGGCGCACACGCCGATCTTATCTGGATTCATTGCGACGTATTTCAGATGTTATCTGAGTTTTAAAACTATCATTCTAGTGCGACGTTAGCCCGTTCGCATCATTAGGAGATTTGAAGAACATGTCTGGATCATTAAAAATTTTCCTTCTTCTTTATATCGACGTCGCAAATGTAATAAAACGGAATGAAAACACATTTGCGTTTACTAGTGACTCATTTTCAGCGAACAACACAACTCGCGATTGTTTCTCGGCGTTTATTTCGTCTATTTATTACTTTTATATTCACACATCGTTTGTGTTTCTTTATTTTTTACATGCATTGTAATTTTAATATTTTATATACAATATCGAATATAGCTTTTCTGTTTTGTCGGCTTATTTTAGCTTTTCGCACTAAAATATCTCCCCGTTAATAGAAATAATAATAATAATGATTATCAATAATATATTCATTATTACTATAATATCATTTGTATTATTATTATTATTATTATTATCCGTTTCTGTGTGAGAATAATCAGGAAAAAAATGAATGGACATGCGAATTCGATGGACTCGCATCGGAAAAGTCTCGCAAAGTGGGAGATACTCGGCGATACTCACTTGAATTGATGAGGAACTGATTCGTGAGTCCTGGGTGGTCTACATCATGGATGGTGGCCGCGAACAATGCAGCGGTGATCTCCAACGGCGTGAACACGGACTGCAACACGGCGGTGAAGGAGCACGATTAAGCGAATTAACGATTACATAATTCACGAGGCGTTATCTCGCGCGCGCGCGCGCGCGCGCGCGTTTTCTCCGATCTTGCCATTCTTCGACGTCGCACGACCGAGGCGTACGCAATATCGATATCGCGTTTATCAGAAGAGGCAATATTTATCGGACGCTTCGTTATCTACGTCTCGAGCTGCTCGTGCTCGCGCTCGAACACGTGAGGTAAGGTACGCGCGCGTCTCGACTGTACCAACCTCGAGAGCGGGCGTGTTGAGCAGAGTATGAGTGGACTGGGTCACGTCGGCCGCGTGGAGGCTGTTGTGGAAGGGATTGTCCTTCACGTAGTGATCCTCTAGGGTCATCATGAAGGTGACGAAGGTCTTCGGCGGTATCGCTAGCGACTTGAGCAGATCTCGACTCTGGAAGGCCGTGTACGCCACGCAGGTGAGAGGTCGATTGTTACTGAGCTCACCTATCCTGAAGATGTCGATGCCCCACTTGTCGATGTCCGACAGCAGCTGCGAATCACATGAGAAGAAAACACTAAGAATTACGCTCTCTCGAGAGTCGCGATGATGAACGCGCAAGAAAGAATGCAGACTGCCTTTGAGTAAACGTTACTTATTTCAAGCGCTTTCCAAGTTTATACAGATAGATCTGGAGATTTGGCCCGAGCTCGTCAGCAACGTGAAAACTAGTCTCGAAATTGCTTTCTATTAAAAATCCTATACGCTAGAGAAACTATTGTAGCTTTCCTTGCAAATTGCTATTAGTCTAACTGTCAGCAGAGTTTATCTCCCTGAGAAGCATGGTAACTTTCTTTGGCAAACAGAAAATTTCTCAACAGCGGCAGACTTCAAGTTCTTACAAAATTCTCTCCGCGTGTAAGTTCAGCACTGCGATCCAGAATTGTAAATCGAAAGAGGAGTACTAAATTGAGATCAAAATTCGGTTTGTTTTCTGTCTACAGCATATGACTCTTCTTTAACACTCTTAAAAAAAAAGAATGAATTCTTCTGATGATAACGAGAGAGCTTTCCTCAAATTTCTACTGGAAATATCTCAAGACCATCATCATCATGGGGAAACGAATGTTTCAACATCTTTCCTCTCGGCAGTGTGAAGCGATACTTTTTTCCCCGCTTGCGAGACCCGCTAATCGCACGTTCATTCGGAGGCGACGCGACGTAGCGAAAAATCTCCATTATTATTCAAATATTCATCCTATCAGGCGGCCGCCCGTAGATATCGATTAGAGCAACGAGTCGTCGGACGAGAGACAGGGCTCTGTTTCAGAGCGCGAATTACGGAGGTTCCACGATAACGCCGAGAGGTCGCGGATTATGAACGGCGACGTCACGGTATCTCATTCTCGTTTTATCGCCGAGCGCGACAACGAAATTCGATAAGACCGCGGGCGGAGTCCGGCTTAAGGAAATATTCCCTGGAAACCTCGCCGATACGGCCGGCTGTTTGTAAACACCGGCTAATGTTAATCCAGCGTCATCGCGGTCTCGTTCGTCCCCCCGATCTCTCTCTCTCTCTCTCTCTCTCTCTCTCTTCCTCTCCCGCGGCCGATAATAATCTCCCGACGTGTGGGAAGCGTCTCAAGTCGAGAGCACACCAAACCGAGAGCGCGCTCACGGTGGTGCGTCGACGTGGTGGTGGTGACCCCGACGCCGACGCTGAATCACCATTGCGTGGGCATAAAAATGTCACGGGTCTCGGGAAAGAGTCGTCTGAAGAGGCCATCTAAGGACACGGGTCCGCCGGGCCGCGGAGAGCGCGGGCCGGCAATTTCTCCGAAATTTCGCCGCCTCCTGGAAAAGTAGCGGAAGCTGTCAGGGTGAAATTACTGACGCGCGCGCGATATGGCCGAGATGACGAGGCGACGCGGTTAATGAAGTATCATCACGTTCCTCGGCTGGGCTCGCGAACGTCATCGGGAATAGCGTCGCTCTTCTTGTCGCCGGTATTTACGGAGACGCTGAGAATTATTGGACTTGGTTTCGCCGTCCGTCGCCACGGCGAAGGATACGTCGCTAATCAACCGAGCTGTTCGGGTTATCGACGCCATGCGACCTCGCGCAGCCTGCTGTCGCGTGGTCGATTGAAATACACACGAACGACCTTTGGATTGCGCGCACGGATTTCTAAAATTGCTTTCCAACAGTCCCATCGAGCGGCGCGCACCTGCGCCGTGGCATTGAGAATAAGGAGAGTTTGCCGAGGATTGGAATAAAGCCGGATGAAGATAAAGTTGAGACGTCAACAGGTGCGCCGCGTGATGATCTATCATATCGGAAAAATGTACAGGGAGTTTCGAGAATTTTATATATATATATATATATAGAGAGAGAGAGAAGAGGGGGCAGAGGGAGAAATTGTAGCTTCGAAAAAAGCGAAACTACATGCTGAATCTCGCAAAGGCGCTTCGGCTGGTGAGAAATAGAATTTCCAAAAGTTGAACAATGTCACTCAAATTTTAATCTCTAGTCGCTATTTATACGAATATAAAGCAAAAATTTGTAACGGTGGGCCCAATTGGCGACTAAGATCATAATTTCATTTTGTTTATTCACAAAAAAAGGAGAACTAGACACTTTTCACGAAAAAAGTTGAACAATGAAAATATATAAAATTTGTATCTCAAATCACCACTGGAAAGACTACAAAAATCTCCCGAAGCAACCCCCCCAAGTTTCTGTAGAACTTGCGCATCTTTTCCAACTCTAGCTCGGCCAAGTTACATTAATTATTTCAAATTTTTAATTTTGCCAATCACCGTCGAACACGAGCGGCCTGAGTGCCTAATTTCAGAAAAAACTCGACTGCTAGAAACATCAAAACGCAGTGCTGCATTTCAAAGCCGAGCGAGGACCCGTCGAAAAAGACGAAGCCTGGCGGGATGAGAAGAAGTCGACCGGACTGATAAACCGCTACTTGCTGTCCTCCAGTCCTCGGTCCCCGTGCTGGGTTCGCGGAAGGCGCCGTTCCGGGGACTCGGCGGGTAATCAACGGACTCGGGGATATTTACGGCTTTAATCTCGCTAGTTACGCGCGAAATTGAAATTGCAAATCGCGGGCCTCGCGATGCTGGCGCGTAGAAGAAAACGCGGCGCGCACGTCGACTTGTATATCGCGCTTACGTACGCACCCCGGAAGCAGGGCGAACGGCTCTCGTCGGCGAGAAGCCGAACAGTCAATATGGACTCGAGGCAATCAGCGACGTGGCGCAAACTTTGCGCTCTTTAATTGCTCCGCTCGCAAAACCCACGTTCGTATAATCTCTCTATGAAACATCTAGCCACACTAGGAGGTGGGGGAGGGAGGGAGGGGGGGGGTTGAGAAGCTGAAAGATATAATCTATTTCTCTATCTGCCTCCGTCTAATCCCTGTGATAATATTTCTCTCGACATTTATCAATTCTCCTCTCACAAAGCTCGCTCTCTCTCTCACTATATCTCTCTTCTTTCGCGTCGTACTTGCATGCGTCGTTCTTTGACTTCGCGTTCTCTCTTCCTCCTCCCCTCCTCGTACACTATTCTTGTTACCAGCTTTTGTTATCATCGTTGTGAAAAAACGTTTGTTGGTGAAGTAACAATGATCGTGCTTTCGAAGGACGTCCCCCCTTCCGCTTCTATTTCTACGTATCTTCAATGTCCTTCGATTAATAAGACTTCGGCGATGCGTTGATAAACTTGCGTCTCTTTTCCTTTGTTTATACACACACTTCGCCGTAATCCTTCACACGCGAGCTTCAAGCGTCAAGAAGATAGAAGTTACGTTTTAGGAATTAGATAACGAATGTAACTCATCCATCTATCCCCGTCGCCGGCCTATCGTTTTCTCCGTCGCTCCTTTTTTTCTCACTCTCCTCCCCGCGCAGCACGCTAACGCTTCCGCGAGATCGATAAATCGGCGTAAATATTTATTAGCCGATCGCGGGGTATATCGTCGGCGACGTCCCGTGACCGGCGCTTCGCGGAAGAAAGCCTGGGAATCGCGGGGAGTCCATTCGCGGCGCAGCCGCGCGACGTGGATATCGCGGTGGATTTCGGCGCGGCGCGGATGAAAGCCAGAGACACTGCGGAATTCGCGGCAGTGACGGGAGATTGCGTCAATATCGCGCGCGCGCGCGCGGATCAAAGAGCGGAGAGCAACAATAAACGCGGTGTCACGCCGCCGGGAGAAATAACGAAGGCGCGATAAATCCGCCAAATTCTCGAAGGCTCGAGAGCGCGGCGAGAGCCGGAGACGAGAATCTGCGCGCGGCGCGCAGATTTTTACGTCGCGCCGTCGTACGAAAATCCGTCCTGTTCGCTCGAGAATGACAAGTCGAAATTCTCACCCCATCTTCGGACCTGAACTTGCCGACGTCTGTAGGTCCTGGCGGGCCAATATAACGATCTCATTAATATCGAAAGTAAAGTTCCGCGCCTCGAAATGCTCGAAACGAGCGCGCAATTCGTTATTTGCACGGTTCTGAATGGAAAACATCAGCCGGAATTTCGACTCGCCATCCTGTCCTCTGTTCGTCAATCGGTCGCCGATGGCTGACAAGAGCCAGCCAGTGGCGCGAGAAATTAGCGACGTCCCCCGTTGACGCGCGCGTAGTCCTGACGTTCCTTGGAAGGCTTTAACGCTCGTACGATCGATACGTAATAGCGGATTACACGTACCGCTCTCTCGTTAGGCCACGATTAATGACCGCGCAGTCACATGAAATTAACAGTCGAATAAATCCCGATTCCGGCAAAGCGGTTTAATCAGTTTAGCGTCGCTGCGAGTGGGCGGCTCTATCGTGCCGGCAAACTCCGTCTCGAAAGCCGCCACCGCTCGCTACCTGACGATAACGAGACCGCCGTCTTCGTCGAGGATCGCACGTGGGCGTGCGAGATGATCGTTATATCGGCGAACAACGCCAACGCCAACTTCGCCGAAGCACACAGGCCAATCATGCGTGCAGAGCGGCCGGAGTTTCTGAGTAGGCCGGCGGCGTTTGTCGATCGCTCTCTCTCTCTCTCTCTCTCTCTCGCTGCTCTCGTCGACAATCGTTGTTTGCGTTTCTTGCTTCTCGCTCTCTCATCTCTCTCGAATGAAATTTAATTATCGAGTCTCGATCGAACTCGAACGATCCTCCGCTTGTAATTCTCCGCTCTAAATCGTCGAGTACACGTCGAGGAAAATACTCCATTGCTGAGAATAGCGAGCTTTATTTCCCCCCCCCCTCTCTCTCTCTCTCTCTCTCTCTTCAAGCAACAGTTGCCTCCGACAAAGGGTGCTCGTTAGAAATTTCAGGAAAGCTCATTATCGTGTGACCGAAAGGAGAATTTATGCTCTTTTCGAGAATATTGGAAAGCTTATATTCGCGAGTAATTTAACGGAGAAAATTTGACGAGACGAGCTTTCCCGACAGAGAAGCTTGCGTGTCGAATGTATCCAATGCTTTCCCGAAAGCACACCGCGAAACCGTCCTCTCTAGGCTCCCGTGTCCTCTTTTGCATAAAATTCTACGATTCTACGGGATCGCAAGATTAGTCGAGGAGAGATGCGATTTCTTATATATCTTTAAGCTAGTCCTGTACTTTTCCAGACACCCTGTAGTGTCCGGCGGCAGCTTGCACGTGCCGTTGCGTTGCTCGTGCTTCGAACACCTACGTGTCTACCACTGGGCGCACGTGGTTTGCAAATCCACCACTTCTCACGCCTCTCCGGTGAGATAGACGCGCAACAATGATTTCGAGATAAACGGTATCGTCCGCACATGACGGTGTAATTCCTCAGCCGTTAACCCTGAAGTAGACGCGTGGGCGACGCGTGTTACCTGCGTCACCCGTTCTCCGTTGTTATCTCGTTGTTGAGACTCGCAAGACTACGGCGGCGTCTATGCGATTCTCGCGAGTCATCGATCGGAGAAAATTTCACCGGTGTATATATTCTCTTTCTCCTTCTCGATGAGAGAGAATGTAAATAGATCTTATCGTCTCTTATTATTGTCCCGGGTCAGTATCCTCTGATCCATTATCGCTCTCTAATGCAAAACGACTGTAAAAGCACGAGCCCGGAAAGAAGGAGCTAAGATGGATATACTCAACGTGAAGAAAAAATGAAAAAAAAAAAAAAGAGAGAAAACCGCTGGCGCACCCAGTGCGCCACGCGACCCGGCTCCTCGCGAACGACTCGCTTGTGAACTGCGCTTTTGTGAACCTCCCGGTGCGTTCCAGTTGCCAATCGTCCCGGAATCGAGAAAATGACCGCGGGGAAGAGGAAGAGGAAGAAGTGCGACCATCGAGCGTCGAAGTAGCGAGACATTAAAAGTCAGAGAGGCTTACCTTGCCGAGCTGCTCCTCGTGCGGTGTTTCCACCCCGTGGAGCGGCACGCGTTCCCCGGTGAAGCTATTGGTGTGTGTCAACGGCCGTTTCACGCCGCTGATGTGTGACATCGCGGCAGGACCCCTTTGTGCACGGTCCTTCTTCTTCGCCGCTCGTGCGTCCACGCTGCCGGCCGCGGCGACTGCATCCTCGATTCGCAGGGACGGCAAGTCCAGCTCCTGTTGCTTGTCTGCACGGGCAAAAAGCGGTACGTGCGGTAATGGACGGGCGTTTCGTAATAATTGTAAGGAGAGAGAGCACACCGTAACTATCGCGGATTAATCGGCGTTAACCGTGAACTTGACGCCAGACATTGAACTCTCCGTCCGCTCGTCGCAACAAAGAAGCTCCGCGGTTTTTCCTTCTTTTTTTCTCTTCTTTTTCTGTTGCTTTCCGAGCGTCTCTCCCAGTGCGTTACGACGAGAATCCATACGTCCCCGCGGAATTTACGGCCGACTCGCGCGATCGTATCACCGGCACTCGTTCACCCTGATTTGCATAACGAACTACGATCGCCTGCTCGCCTGCTCGCTCGAGCGAAAAGTAGTAATTAAAAATGCCTCGCTAAAGCGATATTGACGCGCCTCTAATTGTAGCTCAATCGGCGCATTTCTTTATTGCATTTATTATCGATAGGCGGGCGGCGATAATTCACGTCGAAAAGACAACAGCTGACGTTCGTCGTTCGTAACATATCAACGACTCATTCATCTCTTGACTGGCGAGTTAAATTTCGCAAAAATGCTTCAGCCGACAAAAATGAATTTGCGAAAGTTAAGCTAAGGCTTGAAAACATTGCGTCTATGGATCTTTGAAGCCACTGAACATCGAAGTGAAAATTTTTCATATTCGAATTGATGAATTCCATAGCGACTAAAATCATTATTTTATTTTGTCAAAAATCCCAAAATATTTCATTTTTTTTTTTCTTAAGTCGGAATGCCAGCACAGTCGGCAAGAATATTTATTCCGGCAACTTGAAATGCCAGCTGTGCTGCCATGAAAAAGATTTAAAGACAGAGCAATGAAGCAGTTAAGTGCGATGACAACACGAAAGAAAATAAAAATCCTGTGTGCAATTTTTTCAGGAATTTACTAATTAGCTAAGTAAGTATAATTAGTTAAGACGTTGGTAAAGTTGATGGAATATAAAAAAGAAGATTGAAATGCAGTAAATATCTTTCGCTTCGAGAAAAATAGCAATACGTCGAAAAACGTGCGTAATTTTAATGTTTCCTTTTCTCAGCTAAAAAGTAACCGTAAATTTTTCATGATAAATTATATTTATAATTATGCGAGTGCAAAGAGTTGAGGCCGCCCATTTTACATCCGCTATCTCGAATTTTGAATTTTGAAGTTTACCATCGAATAGAGCGACCTTTGAATAACCCAATTTTATAAATATTCATCCGAATATCCGAAGCGGAGAATTGCGTTTCCGCGTTCAGCCTGGCTACTTTTTTATGAACACAGTATTGCATTTTCGCTGATTGGACGGAATCATCGATTGATCGCGAACAAGCAGGATCTTTCGCGGACGCGCAAATATGTTAGTCTGCGCACGGCGTCCTTCCGATTTCTTCTCGCGCCGCGTTGTTATGAGACTTTCGTGTGTGGTCGACGACCGAGGAGAAATTTAATTAAGGCATCGAGCAAACAAAATGAAAAATGTCCACGAAGGAGTTTCGCATCGCGGCAATGGCAGGGATTATTCCGCAAAAATTCGCCTGAGTATTTCATCACCCAAATTAATGCAAATGAAATGAATAATTAACAGCGTTAAATAATTTTCTGACATAATATCCACCGCTATGTAATCATCATTTATAATATCGGTCTTTACAACATCAAACGTCTCATCGTTCGGATCCTCTCTAGTCTCATTTGCAAATTATTATAAAATTGTTGAACGCTACAACATTGGCGACGTCTATTGAGTTGCCTCTGCACTAATTAATTTTGTTGTTGCGCAAATTGTAAGGCTTCATCTCTCATCTTACACAAATATTTCAAATCGTCTAGAGAAATCTCTACGTGATTCTAGCACATTGTTCGATTTGGATTTCCGACGGCTGCGAAGGGAAACGGTGTCTATTGTCGGATCTTCTTGCGTATCGACGCATTCAATCTCAATTTAAGCTTCATGATTCTCTCAGAGGTAGTTTACCTTCGCCTCTAATTAATTAGCGTCCTTATTTAATTAGCTTAATGCATTCATATTTCACTCCTCTTTCCCCTTCCATCTCCGTGCGATCTTTCCCCGCCTTATTTTCCGCTTATCATCGCTCAATTTCCTTCAGAGGAACTTTGCCAGAGCGCGCAAGAAATTTACTCATCCGTCTATCCGCCGTTTCTTATAGCCGCGCGAATTGCAAAGAAAGTAAACGAGCATTACAAAATCGTCGAGACAGACGACTGCTGTTACGACGCGCGTTATATACAAAATACAAAAAGCGGATACGGAACTCGGAGCCCGCGACAAAGCGCGTGAGTGGCGCGCGGGCGACTTTTCGCGGGAATGTCGCCGGGCGATTGTTTCGGAGCCGCAGCCGCACTTTGTGTGTCCCGCCTTAATTATACGTTCTCTCTTTTATCGCAAATGTCTTCCGGTGGGCAGCTCTCTCGAGCTGCTCACAAAGGGTCCGATCGCGATTTTTGCCCGGCAATGATAGGCGCTCGCGCGACCACGGGGGCCGCCGAGCCAAGCCGGGACAAGCCCGGGACAAAGTGAGTCGGGCAGAATGAATGGCCACGGTGGTGGCCGGCTACGGTCTCCTCAAGGGCCTTTAATGCGTAAGAGCGCTCGTTTTATTGCGTCCATAAACCCGCTTCTGGCGACGACCTCGTTAAAACGCGCGCCGTGAGCGCGTATTATCTTCTCCTCTCGCGCCTTCTGCCCGCGGATGTAATTCGCGGAAACGCGAATGTTTCACTTTCGTTTCGTTTCTCGCCACGCGGCGCTCCCCGCTCGGCAGAAGCCCCCGCCCCCCCTTCCTGGCCCCTCGCGTTTTCCGCGTTTGTCGGTAACTCGCCGGCTCGAGTATAACTCGTGACGACGAAAACTTACCGAGGAAGGTGCTGCAGATGTACTCCGAGATCTGGTTCCCGGATTTCGACGACTCCGAGAAGTGCGACAGTTCCTTGTTCAGCATTCTCTTGAACTGCAATCAGAAGGAAAACGAGCGAGGCGATTATTAACGAGAACGAGATCGATCGCTGTTGACCGAATAATCGGCCAGTTTCACTTTTGCTCGCGGCGTCGCACCGCATGTGTGTGTGTGTGTGTGTGTGTGTGTGTGTGTGTGCCGAGTCGCGCGGCCTAACGATTATAATTACAACCGCGTAATTCGCCAACCGATAAAACGGCATCGCGCGTGTATCCTTAATATAAATATGTTTCCCGCCGTGTCTGAAGGTTCTACGGGTTCCACACGGCGAGACTTAGCGAACGCCTCTAGGTCGAACCGGGCCCGAGGATCGATCGATATCTACCGGAGCGCACTTTTCTCTTTATCTACCTCTCTCTCTCTCTCTCTCTCTTTCTCTCCTTCTCTCTGGCTCGCTCTGCAAAACCGGCTTCAGGCCGCGTTCCGGCGATTTACGATTCTCGCGGAATGAATAACGGAAGGGCCCGCTCAGAAGTTAACGGGAGACGCTGAGAATCGCGTGCGAGAGAGAGAGAGAGAGAGAGAGAGAGAGAGAGAGAGAGAGAGAGAGAGATTCCGGGCTTTCAGATGTCTCCCAGGGCAACCGGTGCGAACCTTCACCTCTCGCGCCCTTATCTCGGCGCGAATTTACGATATTTGCACGTATCGCGCGTATTTTCACGCGCGCAAGAGGCGCGGAGAATCACTCCCTCCCCCCCTCCACCGGAGAGGGGGGCAAACAATGGTGCGATCCCATCGTCGTTTCCCGCCCCTTATCAGCCGCTATCTCGCCGCTCGTCGTCTTTGCGCCCGCCGGGGATAAGCGCGGACGTATTCGCGCGAACGTACCTACCGCGGACCTGCAGGAGTAATGAACCCTGGGCGGTGTTATCGCATAACTCCACCGCGTGACATAACACACAGATTAACCCGTCTGTTGGGCGGCGCCAAAGGTGAGATATTTCGGCTCGGCGCTCGCTCGCTCTCTCTCTCTCGTATCGCGCGCGGCGGATCTCCAGATTAATATTCGGCCGCGCTCGAGCAAATAATCGCGGCCGCCGCCCCGTGGATCGTCGAGGACGAGCAGCTTTCCTTCTTCGGCGCTTCCGTTGCGCGTAGGGCCATAAAGATAAAGAGGGGGGGGGTCCCGAGGGGCTAAGTAGGTCACGCGGAGGGGTCTAACGATAAGCGCAGCGCGCGCCTGCGAGTAATAAATCAACGTACTCGCGCCGCGCGTAATAGGATCGTCGCAGGTGCGACGAGCGGCGAGAACGCATACGGGAAATCAGCACGGTGAAGTCTCGGGGGGCGCCAAGAGGTGCGGGAGGAGGGATTCAACCGAAAGTTCAGCGCTAAAAGGAAAAAAATGAGTCGGTGGGTTTGTTTATTGTTGCCGAACCGGCTCGGCTAGTTCTCTCTTCCTCTTTTCTCGCCCGACGAGTCAGCTGCGGCTACTTTCAGCACCGAAAATGTTATCCAGCGACGGAAAACAAACCAGAGAGAAAGAGAGGGAGGGAGAGAGAGAGAGAGAGAGAGAGAGTCGCGGTCAACAGCGATTTGCTCGGAGTGAATCTTCTTGATTTTTCAGCGATGTTGCAGTCAAACTAATACAGCTGTGTGTAATTAAACGTGACAGCGACAGAATAAATAAATTAGTATAATTAAATATGACCGTTTTTAAATACGATGTTGCATGTATCGATATAAATCGTTTCCAACCATCTTTCCTCCTGACGTTTCTACCAATTCATTGTTCGGCGATATTAATTGCTATTCAGATCCGAGTTATTGAAGAAATGTGTGAACCGGTTCTGATAATATTATTATTGAAAGAAGAAGACTCATCCTCCAACCATAGCGTTGCTGAGTAATCCTGTTGAGTCAACGGCATCTTTTCCCATAAAACTTGCCGAAGAACAAGCTAGAGGAACGGCGCCACCGTCAACAATGTTTCGGACGCGCGGTAAGTTTGCTTGGCTGTGACGAAGCCGCGATGACACGATCGCACGCAATTAAATCACGCTCACGAACAGATAAATGACGAGATGGGCGATAAGATTCGACGGTTATCTCACGTTCGATCGGTCTCTTTTACGCGCGTCACAATTTTTCTTTGCCCATTTCTCAGGCCACAGCTTGACGTTGAACAAGAATATTTCATATCACGGGGATGCGATAATTCCCGGGGTAGCTTTGCAGCTGTTCAACAACGTTGAGAAATAAATATTGTTCAAATGACTTAAATTCGCGACGTCATGGATACGCGGTTTTCGAGTAAAGAGATCGTCGTCCCCCAAAAAGGTCCTTCAGAAAAACGGAAGCTACCCCGCTTAGTTTTCCTTAGACCAAGGCGGAGCTTCTTCCGACGATACTGACGAGCGCCTCCCGCGATATTTTCTCATCTGATATCATCAAATCAACGTCTGCGTCACGTGCTAGCGAAAGGGAGAAAGAAAGAAGAAAAGAGACAGCGCCGCGGACGCGAGAAGCGGTCGATCCGATTCTCGCGCGCGCGCGATCGGACAGCCGGGCTAATATGTCACCGAGGCAATGTCAACGCGTTGCCGCTTTGAATTCACCTTTCCGCCACAATTATCAATGAACTTTCATCGAAATGTCGCGCGAAAGGTCACGAGCGGCCGGTGGTCGCTCCTTCGCCACCCGACGCGTTCCCGTCGCAGCTTCTTTTGCGTATTTTTACTGCCGCTTTTACGCGTCGCTCGTTTCGCGCGCTACACGGCGAGATGCGTCCGACTTTACTGATATCGCTTATTTTTACCGGCTATTTGTATAAATATAAAGCGCGAAAGGAGAGAAAGAGAGAGAGAGAGAGAGAGAGAGAGAGAGAGAGCGAGGAAAACGTCATTTCGTGGGAATGCGTCTCGACGGATCGAGGCGGCCGACAGCGACGGTTTCATTATTATGGCAGCGCGCACGAGCCGATTAATTGAGCTCGGCGATTGCTTGACCCCGCGCGATGATATGTCTCTATCTGTCGTATCCCGAGTCTCGCGTTCGGCGATAACGTAATCTGCCGGCTCGTACGTCCGGCTCGGTTATTCGTTCGTTCGTTTGCCCGGATAAACGCACGCGCGCTTTACATCGGCCGCGGACGCCGCAAGGTCTCCTCCCCTCTGATTGAACGCCTGCGTCTCGCGAATGAAGAAAAAGCGGATTCCTCGTCGACGTCGACGAAGGTTGTTGAGAAACGCGCAATCGAGGCTGCGCGGAAAGCTCTCGAGATAGGGTTCCAGAATCGATCGATCGATCGGATCCGTCGATCTTTGCCCGACGCTGCCGTGCAGATCGTGAGATAAGCAGCTTCTGCGTTCTCCTCGCGACCGAGTTCCGACTCGCCGTTTCGCTTCTTATCCGTGCTGTTACAATGGGCGTCTCGACAGTTTTAGCCCGTTTCGCGGAAAAGCCTCTCGAGCATCGATCGGCTGACGAGCGCGATTGACAGCTAATAAGCCGAAGCGATCGATGCCGCGATCTAAAATTAAATCCACGCGATCGATAGCGCCGTTTAAAATCAGACCACGTGGAGTGTGCGCCTACCGTTTTCATAATCGTCCGACAATTTAGAATTCGGGTCACTCGGGGTATAATGGGGGAGAGGGTGGGGGAGGGGGAGGGGGGAGGGGGAAGGAGCGCGTCGCTAAAAATGCGGTTCAACACCGCCATCACGACCGCCGATTGCGGCGAGCTGGTAGTCAAAATTTTGCCCCCCTTCCCCCCCCTCGGCTTAAAGTATCTAACGTCTGTGAATCCTGCAGGATTAATAGGGATTAAAGTGCAGAAACTGAAGTCTTACTGAGCGATTTTGAACAGCAAAAGAAAATAACAATTTGCTACTCGCTACAAATTCGCGGCAAAGTTGCAAATGAAATACAATGAAAAGAGATTGACGCAGGCTTGAGAATATTAAATTAACGTTAAGTGGAAAATTGAGGTCGAAAGTGGGACTAAAATTTCGATTCGGAATGGGGATCCAATTGACACGAAAGCCGGAGTCGCGCGCTCGCGGCGACTTTGAGATGACAGAAAACGCGCCGTTCTAAAGAGAACCTCTCGACAAAGCTGTGAGTTAGACACAACGAAAACAGGTTGACACAAGGTCACTCGAGAGTGTGAAAAATTAGCGTCAAGTGGAACATCGAGGTCGAAAATTTCGTGGCGGGGTGAAAATTTCGACTCGGCTCGGCGGTGAAGCGTTCTCGAGCGGGCGAGCGCGCGCGATCGATCGATCGCGTTTTCCAAAATCCCGACGTGGTACCTTAATTTGCCGGAATTACCGCGCGGCAGATGGCCGCTGATCTCTCGAGGGGCCACTGATAAAATCGAATATCGCAGATAAGCCACGCGGCATATTGCGCTTTCATTTCCAATTGTTTCCCGAAGCAGCTGGAGTCGGCCGGCTAATCCCGCCGCCTCGCGCGCGATCCAACGGGACTGGCGGACTCTCATTATTATGTTATTATTAGCCGTGCTATTCTCGAGCGCGCTTATACGTTCTGTTTTGGTCCTCGGCACTTCAGCTATCTCCGCCGCCTTCGAGAATAGAACGAAACGCCCGAGGGCGGATTTATTCGCCTCGCCGGTGGGCAGCTTATTATAATGATATGCTTTCCTCTTTTAAAACGGAACACAATCTTGTCCTCGTCGTCTGTCGCGCAAAAGTGTCCGTTATCACGCTGGGAATCGGTGTCTAGGCAGAGAAGCTCGACACTTCCCAACGACAAGAGCAAGCAGAGAACTCGCGGGACTCCAGACTCCAGACGAATGCCTCGCCTCGCGGGAAGGTCGACTCGCGTCAAGCGGGACGCGTCGACGTTCAACAAGTCGCGACCGAGCAAGTATCCGAAAAGGAAATCCTCCAATTTACCTGCACCGCCATGATGCTGGCTATAGCTGTGAGATCCGCCAGAGTCCTCAGGTAATTGAAGTACCTGGAGGACTCGTCCACATTGCCGGTCTCCACCTCGGCGTCCGCCTGTCGCACCATCGTGTCCGTC